AATGGTTGTTTTGTTTTCCCAATGTACAGATCTGTACATGACTCAATGCATTGTACTGTACATACCATGTTGCTCAGTTTGTGCCTGTGTGTTTTATCCTTGGGGTGGACAAGCTTCTGCCTTAGTTTATTCTTGGGTTTGAAGTGTGCAGGTATGTTGTGTTGGCTGAAGATCCTCCTGATCTTTTCTAATATTTCTGCAACGTATGGAATGGCAAAATTGTTTTGTTTATTGTTCTCTTCATTGTCTGTTATGGAGGAGCTCCTGTAAGAAACTATATATTTATTATTCCTTCCTACAATATACATACCTATACATACCTATACATACCTGTTGTGGCCCAGCAGGAGCTGTTGGAGCTGCCACCAGACTCCGACAGCGAGGGGCCCTATGAGTCAGCTCTGGAGGATGTGGAGGACCCTGGACAGGGTTCTGACTCCAAGCAGGGTGCAGAGAGGCTGGTTGGCCACCAGGAGGTACGTGAGCCTTGGACCAGTGGGGAGGAGACAAGGGAGAGTGAGCCGGTTGCCAGTAGTGAGTTGTTCCTGGATGCACGCCATTGAAGAGCTGGTAGGCGTCAGGAACAATTACGCAATTACAGGAGGTAATTGCACTCAGCTGATGGTCATTAGGCTCCTCTCCAGACTATAAAAAGGCTACTTGTGCACACGCCCCTCTTTGCAGAAGTCAACGCAGTGATTAAAATTTGGAGAACTTTTGTACCTAGCTTGGCAGACTGGATTGCTGCCAGGGTTTGTCTGAATTGCTGCCAAGGTTTGTCTGAGTTGCTGCCAAGGTCCTTATCTGTTTGTTCTGCTTGGCTTTCAGCCACCGAGGTTTTGGTGTCTTGCTATTAAAGTACATTCCAGTTAAGATTGTCTCAGCATTCGTTACTGGATGGAGGAGGGGGTCAGAACACATACCTATACCTATTCCTACACCTATACCTATACCTATACCTATACATATAATACACATTCTTTAAAATATGTTTCAAGTATATATGGAAAAGTCAATGAAATCACTTCTATTTATTTGATCTTTTCTTATGATTATTGCTATGACTGTTTCATATTTGTGGCTATACAGTGGCTATAAGAGAGTCAATACATTAGTTTTATGTATATATAGAAAGTCACTGATGCTATTCTTTTAAAAAAATCTCAGTGGCACCATCATGTTTTATATATTTTCTCTATTCAAAATAAAAATATCTTGATTACAAGATATCAATATTACAATATATTTTAATACATTTTAATACTGTGTGCAGTTATTTATTCATGGCATCTAAAGTGATCCAGATATATACGATGCCTAAAAAGAATCTTAGTGACAATATTTTAAGTGTAATAAATGTTTTAAAGCAAAATGTCAGTAAAAGTGACTTTGAATATGAATATCCATATGAGTTGAGATGCCAGTATGTGTGTGTATGTATGTGTGTGTGTACACACACACATACACACACACACTGAGGAAAGCAAGCATAACATGCATAGACTATTGAAAAATAGAAATATTTTGGAAAATATTCAAACAATGGTAGCAGATGAGAAGAAAAGTGAAATGGGAAAAATTAGAGGAACTGGAATTGAAATAATTATTCATTTATGCTGTTTCATCAGCAATGATATTTAGCCTATATACAAACTGTGTGATTGACCATTGGGGAAAAATAGGATTCATATCAGCTCATGCCTATGCTGTTGAATATTATATTGAAAAATCAAGAACAATTGGGAAGGAAGGCTAAGAGGTGCAATTTCACCAAGTGAATGAGCTTGTTTTTAAAAATTGAGGACAACAAATGTATTCTACAGCTTGTATTGGATTGGGAATATACTGATTGCTACCATTTATTTGGTAAGCTAGTTATTAGATTTTTTAATACCCAACCCTCCTACCCCAAAACTGCCTTCAAGGAGCCAATAAAAAAGAATAAAACACAAAACAATTTAATTAAAATGCAATTAAAATATAATTCAATAATTACAAACGAAAAACTTAAAATAACTATTTTATAATGTTAAAACATGGTTTAAAACTTTTACAATGCTAAATTAAAAAGATATCACTTGGCATTCTTTGTTGAGGGCATAAATTTCAGGCTAATCAGAACTCCAAAACAAATCAGTTTTGGTTCTTCATTTATCATATTTAGAGACTGCCTGTGTCCCTCATAGAGTGACTCTGGGGGTGTACACGTAGATATAAAAATATAAAAGCTATACATAAATGTTGTGGCACAGCAGGATCTGGTTGAGCTGCTGATGGACTCGGATAGCGAGGAACCATATGAGTCTGCCCTGGATGATGTGGAGGACCCTGGGCAGGCTTCAGACTCAGAGAAGCTAGTTGGCCACCAGGAGGTGCCTGATGCATGGAGTAGTGGGGAGGATCAAAGGCAGTTTGTCCCTGATGCTAGATTGAGAATGGCTGAGAAACTGAATCAGCAACTCTGTAGGCAGACTCACAGAATATGATTAAGAACAGCTGGTTGTTGATTGGCCCCTCCCAAGAGTGATTATAGGTGAGGCGTTGGGAGGGACATTTGCAGGAAACAACTGTTCGAATTAGTCGTTAAGAAAATCTATCTGTGTATTCTAGCCGTGTCTGTTCATTTGAACTAGCTGAGTTGCTGCAGAGTTACTCTATTGAACATGAGTTGCCTGGGTCCTCAGCCAAAGGATTCGTTATCTCAGTAATTGAACAGTGGCAAACAGCCAAGCCTGTGTTCTGGTTTATTCACAGGCCGGGGGNTATATATATATATATATATATATGGCATTGGAAAGAAAAATAATATTTAATCGTTATCCTAGATATAAAGTGGAAAGCTTCTAAGATTTATGGTGGGAATAAGTTGCAACAGCTGCATTTTTCCTTGACTGAAATCTTGAATACAATTTGGATTATGGTCCCTGGGTTGGGAATGGGGGTTGTTCATATTATCTAAAGCTCCTTCAAATAAAAAAGGAGGGTAAACAGCGATGTGCTCTAAGGAAAGGCTAGAAATATGTCTTAGTGATAAACACCTTTTTGAAACATCAAATAGTCAGCATATATTAAACTAGAAATTGGATTTTATGGTAGTGAGTGGGTGTCATGATAGAATAGTGTTTACCACCAACATTAATGCCATCTGTAAATTTACAAATGTTGAATCTATGCTTGTTTTATCTTTTATTCCCTTAACTATTTTAAGCTCTATCATGAAGAAACCCTGACCGTTAGATAGTTTTCATTCTAGATAAAAGTCTGCTTTGAAGTTGAAGTATTTTCTCTGAAAATTGTTCAGAAGTTTAATGTCTAAGATCAGCCATTTTTTAAAATATGTACTCTCCCCCTTTCTCCTTCAAACATATGCAAACAATAGGCCCAAAACGTTTTCCAAAATAAGTAATTTCTAATCCAGCCAGGATTATGCAGCCATAAAAAGGATATCCAAATTCACTGATTTATATTGGATAGTTTGGTTTTCACTGTTGACATATTTAAACCAGAAAATACATGGTGTATATTCATTCTAGCAGATGCATTGTTTCAACTTTTATCTTCAAGCTGCCATATTATATAACATCCCAAAGATTTCCTAACTGGAACTATTTTACAAAATATTTAAAGAACATTCTTAAAAATATAATATCTTCTACAGGTAGTCCTTAATGTATGATCAAAATTGAGCCCAAAATTTATATTGCTACGTGAGACATCTGTTAAGTGAATTATGTTCCCCTTTATGACCTGTCTTGCCACAGTTTTTAACTGAATCGTGGCAGTTGTTACGTTTTTGTTAACCAAATCTGTTTTCCCCATTGAGTTTACTTGTCAGGGAACAATAGGGGATCACATGACTCCAGGACACTGCAACCATCATAAATGTGAGTCAGTTACCAACTCTCTAAATTTTGATCACATGACCATGGGGATACTGCAATGGTTGTAGTGTGAAAAATGGTCATAAGTCACTTTTTTAGTGATGTTGTAACTTTGAGCAGTCACTAAATGAACTGTTGTAAGCCAAGGACTACCTGTGTATATTGCTAAAGTCATACTTAGTAACATTGCAAAAGGTTTATACAAAAATGTTAATATAACCTGGCTGGACAAATATATTTGAAATCTGTCAGATACCTTCACCTATATTTAGAATAGTTCAAGAAAGATTATCAAACTCTGATTCACTCAACTGAGGCAGAAACAGGATTTTAATCATTACATATTTGATGATGACATTCACTGATATTTCTCTCCAAACCATTTTTTTTGTATCTTAACTACATCCAATGACCTAAACAATGATTTATAAGGTTCTTTTAAAAACTAGATTAGAAAAGTAGATGATAACTGCCTAAATCTAAATTTATTTTTTATCTATTTAAATAATAAATTGGTTCAGAAGAAATTACATTAAAATTAATCATTGTTAATATCACCATGAATATCCCTTAATGATAGTTACATTGTGAATAAGGATTTGTAATAGGAAAAGGCTGAAAAAAGTATCAATGTGCTATTTATGTTCTGTTAATGCAAGTGAAAGATCAGATTTTATATTTCTGGTTAGTATCCACAGAGGGCTATCCAAATTAGAATATATTGATAATGGTATCATATCATATAGTACACAGTGATCCAAAGGTACTGAGTTTATATGAAGAGGCCAAATTCCACATGTAATTGTTTGACATTTGATGTTTCTTTTTTCTTTGCTTCAAGAAAATACAGTCACTATATAGTCCTTCAGGTGTTGTTGAATCTAGTTTCCATCAGTCCTAGGGAGAACAGCTAGTGTTAAAGTGTAATTGGAACTGTAACACATAATCCAGGACATCCAAAAGGCCAGAAGGAGAAAAGCATTACAGAATATCGGGTGAATTATTATCAAGGAGTTCACAGAAGTATATATTTCTCTTTATTTGTCACAGCAGTTATAGTTTCTTGACAGACAGCATAATATTCACCGAACCAATATAAAGTATGTCTTCATTTTCCAGGTCTGGATGTTGATGGAATATACAGAGTCAGCGGCAATCTGGCAACGATACAGAAGTTACGATTTGTTGTCAATCAAGGTAAGTGATTCCTTTACCCCACGATGTTTTGTTTAGTACTTATCAGTCTGAAATGACAATACAATGGATTTTAGAAGCTCTGGTGCATTAATGGTACAGAATGATGAGTGGCATTTTAAAAAAAGAGAGGAGAAGAAGTGAACAGATACAGTCCATATCTAAGAATAGTTTGGAAGAGAGATGCAATAATCAAATTTTATAGAAAAAGAAAAATTAAAAAAAGACAAACAGAAATCTGGACTTTTCGGAGATAAAATACTGATAAAGATAAAGAGGCATAATGGTGCAGTGGTTAGAATGTAGTATTGCAGGAGTTATTGCCCATTGCCAGGAGTTCAATCCTCACTGATTCAAGGTTGATTCAGCCTTCCATCCTTCCGAAGTCTGTAAAATGAGGACCCAGATTGTTGGAGGCAATAGGCTGACTCTGTAAACATCTTAGAGAGGGCTATAAAGCATTGTGAAGTGCTATATAAGTCTGAGTGCTATTGCTATATTGCAGACTCAACTGCAAAGTGTAAAGAGGTCTGGACATGAAAGGATTGTCAGAATTGGGAGATGAACAAGGGTACTTAGAAATAGTGTGATAGGAAAAAATTACAAAAAAAATAGTCAAGATAAATTTAAGCTGTAGTGTGACTTCACTAAAAATAAATCTGCTATTTTTGCACATATGTACAAATTCAGCAATACTAAAAAAAAACAGATGTACTTGATCTTCCACGTATGTACAAACCAATTGTAGATCATAAGAAAACAGATTTTTAAGGATTTAATTAATGGTCTTGTAGACTCATACAGATCCCAACTAGCCATTATGTAAAATGTTCTGCTAGATATGAAATGATCATTAGACCTGAAAGAAAAGCATCTTTGACCAAAAATACAGTAGCACACTGATTTAATGAAAGAATTTTTTTTTTTTATTGTAAATGTTTTATTCATTTTCATTTTCAATTTTGTACATTCACTTATATACTGGATATTGGCAATAATAATATTATAATCGTAAGAAAAACAAAAAACAAACAAACAAACAAAAAAAAACACCCCCAACCGAAACGCAACTCATAAACCCCACCTATCACTTTCACACATCCCTTCTTCTCCCCCTCCAACTTTCCTTTCTCCCTCCAACAATCACCCCTCCTACTTCCCTTTCCCCTCCTATCTTCCTTTCTCGCCTTTCTCTCCCTCCTTCCCCTCTCGTCCTCCTTACATTCCCCTCTTCCTCCCTCCTTACTTCTCCCTCTTCTTTTCCTCTACTTCTCACTATGGTGCATTTCTCTATTCCTTACACCCAGAAAAAAAAAAAGGAAAGAAAAAAGCAATAAGAAAAAAAAAAGAGAAAAATAAAAAGAAAAGATAAGGAACAGCAGTATACAAGTGTATTCTTCTATATATTGAAGCTATATCTCCACCCACCCCCCCCCCCCCCCCCCCCCCCCCCCACCCCCCCCCCCCCCCCCCCCCCCCCCCACTCCCCCATGCCCCACCCAGG